CATAATCAGGGACAGATGAGCAAATGAAATGTTTTGGTTTACCCTTGCAACTGTAGCAGAATATCAAAAATGCCGTGGCTTAAAACAGTACAAATGTATTCTCTGACACTTCTGGAGGTCAGAAGTCTAAAGGAAGTCAGGTGTTGACAGGGCTGCATCCCTTCTGAAGGCTTCATGAGGGAATCCCATCCCTTGCCTTTTCCAGCTTCTACAGGCTGTCCACATTCCTTGGTTTGTGGCCCATCACATTGCCTTTTTTCTTTCTGCTTCCATCTCCACATCACCTTCTCTGCTTTCTGCCCCTTCTGCTTTCATCTTTTAAGGAGTCTTGTGGCCCACCTGGATAACCCAGAGTGATCTCCCCATAAATTAAGATCATTAGCTTAGCTACACCTGCAAAGTTCCTTTTTCCATGTAAAGTAACATATTAATAGAGTCTGGAGATTAGGATGTGGATGTTTGTAGGAGGCCATTATTGAGCCAACTCCATAAGAAGATGAGTATTTTCTTATATGTGAGAGTTTTCTGGGATCCAGTGCTATCTTCCATACATTCCACTGTTACTTTTGTAGATATAAGTTATAGTCATTCAGTGACACATGTGTTTTTTCTTATAACAATAAAGAATGATCTAAAAACCTGTTCATACCTAGCTTGTTCTACTGGTGACCAACACTAAACCTTGTGTTGTCAAAGGAGCGTCCTGCTCAGAGGATAAGTGGAGGCAGCCTAAAGTATAGCAGTTGGCAGGAGAGAAGGAGCTCAAACCTTCTTAACATTGCTGCTCTGAGACTAGATATCATTCATCTGGTTTCCTGGAGATCATTCCTACACTAAAATAACTTATTTTAATCCTGAAGTAAAACCATTATTTTAGCCACATTGCATGTCACATGCTTAGAAGTCGCTCACTTGAAATTATTGACTAGAAACCATATCTGATGGTTTAAAATGTATCCAGATTTTGAGAATGCTCTAAAAAGTGCAGTATACTTCAAGGTGAGTCAATATAAACTTCTAAGTTGCCTATTTTTCAATGGAAAGAAGCAGTAGTAAAAACCTTTATAAATATTACAAGAATACGTCAAAATTGCTTAGGAGCACTCTGGGTTGCTTTAAGATTCTGCTGTGATGATAGCATTATGCCAGTTATTGGTGACAGATGACTTGCCCTTAGCTGTGGATGCTGAGAATTTGTGGAGAACCTTTTGTTGCTGTCTCTCTAGTACTGCTTTGCCTTCTGGAAAGTGATCAGGTTGAAATATGGTGTGAGCTGCTTAAATACCAGCAGATGTTCTTGAAAGACATTTGCTCTCCAGGTATCTTAGGGCAGCTCTGCCACCAACCACAGGGATCTTGGTCACCTTCATCTAAACCTGAATGAGGGCTCTCAAGACACTAAAATATGGTCTTTGTGCTGCTCAGACTGTATGTGGTGACTTCACCCATCTAAATCCAAGAGACAGTCATTGCCAAGAACAACAGAGCTAGACTAAGAAGAGTCAAGGCTGCTGTGAGCAAGGTCATGGGAGTCCTGTTGGAATAACTACAGAATGCAGCTGGGCCAAGGTGGGGCCACCACTGGTAATGAGCAATAATCGTGTTCCAGAGCATACTGGTAACAGTGAGACCATTAGAATTGTCCTTTCAAGGGTTACCTGCCAGTGAGTTTTATCCTGCCTTCTGAAGATTCATTTTAACTACAAAAAAAAGAAAATAGTGATTCTTTTCTAGCCACTGAAACAACAGAATAATCAGGTGACACTTCCATAATCATGTCATACAGAAAAGGCCTTCAAATACAGAAAAAAGCCTTCCCCTCACTAGTTCAATGATTATGCTACATAGATAGAATGGGATGTCATAAGTATGCAGAGCATGCAGGACTTTTAGTCTTTGGGTACTGTTCTCTGTATTAGTCAGGTTTCTCCAAAGACAGAGACACGATTGGAGAAATGTATGAAGAGATTTATTATGAGGAATTGGTTCACAGGACCCTGGAGGCCTAGAAGGCCTGCAAGTCTGCCATCTGTAATCTGGAGCCCCAGGAAAGCTACGGTGTAATTCCTGCCCACATCTGAAGGCCTGAGACAAAAGAGCCAGTGGTGAAGATCTCAGCCCACGGACAGAAGAAAACAAATGTCCCAATTTAGGCAGTCAGGCCAGAAACAAAAGGGAAGAATTCCTCCATCCTCTGCCTTTTTTTCTGTTCAGGCCCTCAGTGGATTGAATGATGCCCACACACTGGGGAGGGTCATCTGTCTTTTAAGTCACCAATTCAAAAGCTTATCTCATCAGAAACACTCTCAAAGATACATCCAGTAATAATGTTTAATCTGGTTTCCACTTGGCCCAACCAAGATGACAATAAAACTAACCATCAGAGTCTCTTTTGAGTTCTTATAATTGATTCTGCAGGGCTATAGGGTATAATTAACTATAAATGGTATTTTTGTTGGAGGCCTCTTTTGTTTCTCCAACCCAATCCAGCTATGTCAGATCTGAATAGTTCATCTCTCTTCATGGAACAAAATCATTCAGCTTCTCACAACCATGATTATTTATCATGTGTTATATAGTTTTATTATACAAAGAATTGAAGCAGTACAGAAAAATGCATTGGAAACAAAGTGATAAATATTTTTTTAAAAAGAAAAGGAGTTGGACAAAAGTGAGTTTTATCCTGCCTTCTGAAATGAGGTAAGAAAAACATGAAGCTGAATGATGCTAACACATATAGAATATATACTCTATGTTCCTACTTAGTTGCTAATGGAAGACCCACAGTTTCAACCTTAAACTCCCTAGCAACCAAAACAAAGTCATTAACAAGAGCATTTAAATACTTTGCCAGATTCATGAAACAGAAAAGCATACTTACTCAGAAGAAAAACAGCTTGTTCTGGCACTGATACCATGCTAGTCAGTGAGATCTCTGGGGGGTGACATATATCAGTATCTGAAATGGTGTAGTCTTTTCCTATACATATACAACAATAACAATATTATACAAAGCAGTAACAGTAGTGTAACTCCATTGGGTTCCTGTATAACTCCATCCGATTCCCATGTGTGTATGTGGGAGAGGGTCTTCCCACACATACTAACACAAAGCAATTCCTGAACACCAGCAAGGTATCCAAAAGCTCAACTCAATTCTGATGCCATCCACCCAGAGGCAGCACCAGATACCCCAGGTTAAGGGCTCCGCCCTATGAGACTGCCCTCCACCCTCAACTCCTGACACTGGTTTGCAAGCCCCAGGCAGTTTTACCTGTGCTTCTGACCTACCAGCTACAAACTGAAGGTTCCCACGACCCCCCAGTTAGGTTCAATTAATTTGCTAGAGCGGCTCACAAAACTCAGGAAAATACGTTTACCAGTTTAATAAAGGACACCATAAGGGATACAAGTTAACAGCCAGATGAAGAGGGACATAGGGGAAATTTCCTAAATAAAGGAGCTTCTGTCCTCGTGGAGCTTGACACCTGGCTTGGTGGCATGTGGAGGCAGTCTGGTTCCCCAGGCATAGAAGCTCTCTCCAACTGATGAGCAGGATCCACCCAGCAGAGCAGAGCAGACGGTGATCAGCTCTTCTCAGGGCTTTTCATGAGGCCTTCATTGCACAGTCATGATTGACTGAGTTATTGGCCATTGGCTGATTCAGCCTCCAGCCTTGCCCTTGGGTGGGGTCCAAAAGTCTCTCATTAACATGACAAACACCCATTTCACCTTTAAGACTCTGCCGTGTTTTCAGGAACTGTGGATGAAGACCAAATATACCTGGAAATATATATTTGGTCATATGTATATTTGGAAATATACCTGGAAATATATTTGGTCAGCACACCACCCCACCCAAGCACAAGAGGCCAGGAAATGCAGCTTCATTACATGCACTCTAAATTGGGAGATTAGCAATGGCACCAATACCATCCACACTGTGAGTTCCAAAATCAAGAAAAGTAGTAGATACTCAATAGGTATATAATGTTATTGAAATTATATACAATACAATGTTGTTTTATTGTCTATCAACCTAAGTCAATGATATAATGTCAAAGGGCTGTTTAATAATTCCGCTAGGAAACAACCATTATTAAAAGAATATATTAGAGGAAGCAATTTAGAGGTATGTGCCATCAATACACATTGTATTGACAGCCGCATTTAATTATTAGTGTGTGTGATGTGATCTGTTTGTGCCATTAAAATTGATTCAAATAGAACCAGAAATGGTTCCTAGCAGTACTGCCTTGCTAACATGTCTAGTACCATTGCCTAGACTAACAGCCCAGGTCAGCGCCCCCTGGCCAGGCCAGCAGAGAAGTACAGTATCAAAATTCAAAGAGGGCAAAGCTTCTTAGGAAAAAGTCAGCTTTGCAAAGAACCATTAGAAAACTCCGCATATCATGATTATACTTCTTATTTGAAAAACTGACATTTATCTTGATGTGACATTTTCTTAATCCCTTAATGTCTTTTAGCTGAAATACCAACATGCCGAGAGAAAACCATTGTGTGAATTCAATACTTTTATTTATAAAATATGCTACTACTAGACAAGTCTACATATCAGTTTTGCCAATTCAACACTTAATGAATTCTATTCTGAAGAACAACGATAAGTTCTAAAGCTAAAGCAACCCATAAAATATACATCTAAGCATGGTATTACTCAGAAGCCTAGTCAGTGGGGAAGGCAAAACCCTACCTCATTAATGGACAGCCCCACATATAAAATCTGTGGAGCATAAGCTATTTTTAAATTTGATCATCAGAATAATTACTTCGATGAAAGTCAAACACAAGTATAATGAAAGAGCGTCGGATGGAGGTGAGTGGCCTGGGTCCCAGCCCCACATCCGCCGCTGATTCTTCTCAGGCTTCCGATGGGCTAAGTCTCTGTATTTTCAAAGCCCTTCCCTGTTCTACGTCACCCTACAAATCCACTGCTATGATTCTGTTTTTGATTCATTGTCCTTATTTCTCTTTTGCAGATTCTGTTTGTGGGCATGATGACAGAGTACTATCACTACTTTTTCACAACCCTGGTAAGCAAAAAATCCAACAGGAAAACCAAAGGGATTTTCCCAGTAAAAGTTCAATAGGAAACCATCTCCACTTATTTCAGAGTCAGCCCTACCAGTGCCAAAGGCAGGATATTGTCGTGGAGATTTTTCTTACTTTCCTGAGAATCCTCTAAATCCAGAAATGCTGAACACCAGTTTTCTTTCTTTTTTTTTTTTTTTAACTAGCATCAATGCATGTGCATCCAGAAAGAGATTAAAATGAAACTTACATTAAATAGAAACTGTCAAAGTGCAAACTGTTCATAAAGAGTCATCTACCTTTCCTATATACATTAGAAGGCACAGCGAAGTGTATCTTGGCATTCTTTGATCTGATATGATTTACCTGCCTGTGTCTAGTAGATAGCGGGGTTAGCCAGGGGTCACCTGTCAGGTGTTTTGAAGTCCATCAAGGAAAGGAGCTTGAGATATGCTTTGCACAGTGAACGTTTTTTGCCATAAGAAAAGTCATGGCTTTAAGCTTCAGAAATTCAAAAGAAACTATAATGCTTTACATTTTTAGAGATTATCAGACCAAAGGAAAACGATTTGGATCACTTAATACATCAAAATGATGTGATGACTTTCATTCAATCAGTTTCATCATCAGTCCCACACACCCCAACACAATGCAACACCCCCCTCCCTGCCACCTGTCACACACACACACACACACACATACACACACATTCCACTTTCTTACATGAGAAGGAAACACAGAACCAACTTCCACTTCTAATCTTTAAAAGTATGCCCATTACAGTCTACCTAGATATTTTGGAAAATTCAGTAAGAGTATACCAGATAAAACTAGCAAGGTAGGCTGGGAAATCAAAGAATTTGGATCAAGGCCCAGGCAGCCGTCATACACACACTACTGATAGAAGCAGTGAATCGCATTCCTGACACAAGTGTCTCTGAGAGCATGAAGGGGCGCAGAGGACACTGGGAGACAAATGCTCTGGGGCAGTTGTCAAGATCCTCCCTGCTCCTGAGTTTGGGGCAAGGGAGTGGGAAGCAGGGCAGAAGCACAAGAACTAAAGTTTCCATGGCATTCCCTCCCTGGCTGACATCCTGACTGGTTCCTCTGTTGGAGCAGGTCAAGGGAAACCCTGAGAGCCAGGAAGTGTCTTACTCTGTTTGCAGTAAATACAACCCTTCCCCCATCACCAAAAACACCTGAATTTTACTCAAGGTGAGATGGCCATCAGCCTCAGAACTTCCTGTCTTCCCCATCCATACACAGCACTAAGGGCTGGTTTTATTGAAGTGCAGAAAGAATATGGACAATGGAACCAAAAAAGGCTGACCTTCAATGGAGACCCTTGAGAGATGCCCTCGTGGCCCTCACTCCCTTGCTTTCCTCATCCTTCACTAACAAGGGCATGTTGACTATCAGACCTTGGATTTTCCATGTTGTTTTGTTGTTAGATAAAAACCTCAATTTAGAAGCCAACCGAATTTTGCACGTGTTTAATGTATTCATTTTTAGCACCTGGCATTTCTGCACTGTTGAATCCATGAGGGATTCAATATACATCTTGGAAGTTTCTGTCTGACCTTCTGTAGCTTGAGTCACTTTCCTTCTAGTCATTGGCTGTGCTAAAAGAATCGTTCTTTATTGGGTCTTATTCTTCAATTTGCTTCTTTAAGCATTTTCCTTTGGTTTTACCTGCATTCTGCTATGCTTTGCTATTATATTCTTACCATTCTTGCCCATGAGTATTAATAAAACTTTAAAGAAGAACAAAAATGAGTTACATAGTGCAAAGGGAAAAAAATAACATTTTAAAAAGCAGTGCACTTTTTCTGATGCTGAGCTAAGGGCACTGAGTGTGCTCTTACAGTTAGTTCTACAGTCTTATTCAAAATTATCCTGGGAAAGGATAGCAATGTTACAGAAGAGTCATTCAAAAGGATAGATTTATATGCATCTTCTGCAAATACAAATCCTGGAGTGTTTCTGAAACTGCTTCTCTTGAGTAACCATTATCATCGCAGACAATGTGCAATCTTGTATTGCACTTTCATAAAATAGTTACATTGTTAGAAAATTTTTATGGAAGTTTTCTTATTCCTGTTAAGTGTTATTTTGAAAGTTTCCTTTATTCTTAAATGTGAGGTATTTTTCATGACATATTTTGGAGTCTTGCTTTATTTATAGGAAAAAAAAGTTAAAATGATCAACTTTTAAATGTGAAGCAATGTAAACTTCAGGTTTATGCTGAGTTTCATCCATAATGGAAAATACTGGGGTGGCTTAAACTGCCTTTCCTCAAACATTGTCTGAAAGGGAATAAATTCTACTGTTAAGATACTCACGTCCGGACAACCATGTACTCCAGTTTATTCTCTGAAGAGAACCCTTTTGTTCTTGCTTTGAGTTTGCGTCCAGTGAGTGTTCTTCTCACCCTTGTTGTGTGGGACATCTTTGAACCAGGCAATTGTATTTTTTCCTTCTGGAAGTGATCTGTCTGACAAATTCAGGTGCAAGTTCCAAATTTTGCCTCCTCTGCAAGCCCTGGCACAACACGACGTGCTGGGGAAGGGTGGTGCTGCCCCTGAGAAGTGGGTCATTCTGTGGCCGCTCACATCACCACTCAGAACCTCAGTTTCCTCATCTACAAATTAAAAGCATTGAGCCAAATGGACACAAAGATCCCTTCCAACTCCCCAAAGACTATATCCTAGAAACAGAATTCTCTAGCTTCTCAGAATATCACATCCCATGCTCAAGGGCATACTAATTACTAGCAGCTAAATTCCTCTTCTGGGCTTATCCAAACTTTAACAGTATTGCAAAAAATGGATGAAAATGAAAACTGCATACTGCCATAGAGTTTCTGGGGAAGGTTGCAAATGGAAACAATGTGAAATGTTCTCTTATAGAAGTAAAAAAGCGTGATGATGGCTGCCATTTTTGTTTCAATCTGTTTGAGTCTTCTTCAATCATTAATTCTCTTTTGCATGAAGGGCAAGGAAAATGTTAACTCTTTCTATTTTTATCATTTTTAACTGCACAGGACTTATTTGCTTTAGATCTGGAACTCTATAGGTACAGTGGTGTAAATATGACTGGGTTTCGGCTGCTTAATATAGACAACCCTCATGTATCATCCATCATTGAGAAGTGGTCCATGGAGAGATTGCAGGCCCCTCCCAGGCCCGAGACTGGCCTTTTGGATGGCATGATGACAGTGAGTAGTTTTAAAATAAAAGCATTTGGGATAATGTTTGAATTCCTTAGAGGCTAGGTGAAGAATTCATATGCCTTCTATAGTGCAAGGAAAAAGTGTTATTAGCTGTATCTTGTCTTACATGAGAGAAGACGAAGTAGACCTTTTAGGTATTTCGAAAGCCTGTGCATGGCTACTATCAAAAACTTCTATATCCAGTTTTCCGACTTGCTCCAGGTAAAAAAGTGAAGAAGAGTAGCCACGGCTGGCAGCCAAATAGAGACAAAGCAGAAACCAAGGCAAGGACAAATGGAAAGTTTACCCCTGGGAATGTGGCCTCGGGACGAAGGGAGGAAAAGCTGCTTATAACATGCATGCAGAACCAGTCGCCTTCCTTGCTTCTACCACACCTCAGCAAGCAGAGGCACATGTGAAAAACTGGCAGATTTACATACACTCGGTGCGTTCCTGCTCTTCCTGTCCCGGCTATGTATGGCACACCTTTGCAGACATTGACAGTGCTTCACCCCAGCCACATGTTGCTCTTGAAACAGATGCCAAGCCTGCCTCCTGACAAGCGAGAGGTATTCTGCTGAACAGATAAATTGCAAAGTGCCTCCTCAGAGAGCCTCTCACTAACATCATTTGTCTTTTGTTGTCAAACGCACCTACCCTGGTTCTACTTCACTAATGAAGCTCTCTGTATGATGAAGAAAATAGCAGGAAATTTTTTTTAAAAAGGGTTTCTGTGTAAGAACAGTGTCATCCAAGGGGAAAGATATTGGGAATGCGGGCAGGTAATAGCACTGTAAATTGGCAGAGTATTTCATTCTCTGTTCCTTCATGGGGAGAAGCACTCTTGCTGTTAAGATGCAATTTACCAATAACTGAAAGGTACCATCTCTCAGAGAAATGAACTTGGGATTTATTTCCTTTTTCTACCTTTTCTTTATGAGGAACAAATGAATAGGAGAAACGAATGAATGACATGGTTCTGGATGATTCCATCGTTCGAGGTCCCTGACTGTTTTTCAAACCTGAAATAACTCTTGGACTATACAAAATCATCTAAGAGATAATAATGGAAAACATTTTGGTATAAATGAGCCTTGGGATGATTTGAAACATTGCTTTGAATAAGAACAAGTAGAGACTATCCAGGGAAATGATAGATTTCTGGAAGGGCAGGACGCAACCGAAGAGAGGGAGGAGAGGTGTGCTAATATGTTGGTTTTCCTCTTTTTCCTCTTGGATTTATAACTCCAGTGAGCTCAAATATGATTCAAAACCTTGTGCCCACCCACCCTGCCTCCGCACGAGGTTTCTATCACAGGATGAGATGTCAAATAATTGTTACCTGTTGCTTGGTATGTACCAGTAAAAAAGTTACAGTTTGGAACTATGCCAACACCCATTGTGGATTCACCCCCAATATTAAATACTCGTCACAAGTATGGCTCACTCACTTTACCAAAATAAGCATCTTGTTGTGTTCGGTTATACCAAGGTGACAGAACAGTTTGTGCACATTGACTGAGATGAGGAAAACCACTGAAGAGAGACAGCGCCGTGCCATCCCCACCGCACCAGGCCGGGCATGGGGCTCCAAGGCCTTCCAGACTGCTGGCCTGGGCAAGCGGCTCTCCTGCGGGCAGGGGGCACTGCAGAACCAAGCGCTCAGGGATGGACGAGGTCCTGTTCTGCCTAGAGTTTGTCATTTCGCCTATGAGAAGGGTTTCTAAAGCTCTGTTAGTATTGTTACTAACAGAACAGAAGAGGGTGGCTCACCAGGGTGCTAAAAGTAGGCAGAATAAGTATGTCAGGTTATGTCAATGCTAGTCCAAAAGAGTGGTAGAATGCAGCATTCACCTGAAGCTGGGTCCATAAACATGCAGATATAGTTTGTTTCCCAGTTTTATTGAATATCATTGACATCCTTCACTGCGTAAATTTAAGGTGTACAGTATAATGGTTTGGCTTACACATACTATAAAATGATTACCACAATAAGGCTAATTAGCATCCCTCATCTCATATAGATACAATAAAAAGAAAAATAATTTTAAATGGAGCTTTGAAATTGATCCCATGAAGCATAAAATTGGTGTTCATTTATCCAAAGACTCTGTTTTGTAGCTATTTCCTTTTTGTTTCTAGTAAAGGTGGCTAATTTGGGAAAGTAGAAACTGAGTCACAAGAATGTTAAGGGGCAAGTATAAGGGAATCCAGTGAACTAATTCAAGAGAGCACACCCCCCTAGCCCCAGGCCAGTGCTAACAAATCTTTGTTCTCAAGTGGCCTTGGTATTCAAACTCTTTCTTCTCCACCTTGTGGATGGAGAGCCCTGTGGATTCCATTCCACTGAGTCTCCTATCTTGGATCCCTATGCCTTGCTGCCGTATTTTGCACCCACTGCCTAGAACCCTCCCTTATTGCAGTTTGTTCAGATGCCGCTTTACCACAGAGAGGTTGTCTGCGAACCCCTATCTGATATAGAAGGCCCTTTCCCATTATTCTCTCTCCTAGGCTGCTTTGCTTTTCTCCAAGGCAGCCCTATGACTTAATATGTTACATTTTGATTTGTTTGTTCAGTGGCTTTCCTATAAGAACATAAACTCCATGAGGGCAGACACCTTATCTTTTTGTGATCTGCTTTATCCCCAGAAATAGAAAAGGCCTGCTGCAAAGCAGGCTTTCAATAGATACGCACTCAATAAAGAAATCAGTGTGCTAAATAAATATGAATTGCACTTCTACTCAGACTCCAGATGTTAAATGAAAAATATTCATATAGCCCTGAAATAGTTCTGTAAAAATCCAAAGAAAGCTCCTGTAAACAAGAAATGGGCATGATTAGCAAAGATGGAGATTATTCTAAAGTAATAATATAATTTCAAAAATTAGCCAGGCTAACCACTACTAATATTTAGGTAATGCCATTACTGTAGTATAATACATATAATATATACATATTATATATATATTATATAATATATAATATTATTATATATTTCAAAACACATCCAAAACTGGAAAGAAGCAAGTCATGTCCAAGCCCAAAAATTTTGACTCCAGACTTAAAAGCCATAGATTTAATTAAAGAAAAAAATATTGACTTTAAAAATAGGGTTAAAACTGAGTTAATTAAGAAAACTTACTGGGTCAATAGAATTCAAAAATATTGAAACTCATTATTTAAAAACATCTCGAAATTTACAAAAAGTAAGAATTTTATCAAACAAAGTATTAATTAACTCAAAGAAGTTTGGAGTGATTTTCTAAAATCTACTTCAGTCCTTTTCACTACGTTTTATTTTCCCTTAGTACTTGGGCTGATTCAATCTATTCGCTTTCAGATAGACTGGAGTAATAGAGTGGCCCATTCTCAAATTCTCCTCTGACAGTTGAAACTAATTGTATATGATTGAATACTGCATAGAAGTCATGGAAACGACACAATCTTGATCTGTCATCTACCTTCCCAACTATTCAAATGCATTCATGATATGAAGTCGGTAGTTTTATCTTACATGTAAGCACTTCCTATAATCATGATCCACAGAGAGGACTTTGAGTGCCCACCTTGACTGTCCACTGATTCTCCATTGAACAAGGATACTAGGCAGCTGGACTCAGTGGAAAAAACAAGATCTTTCCAGATGAGGAAAACCAGGATTGAAGTCCTGCCTATGTCCCTGAATAGCTAAAGGACCTAAGTTATTTAGTCTGTCTGAGCCTGCTTGCTCATCTGTAGAAGAGTACTTTACAGTATTATTCTACAGATGAGGTTAGATAACAAATACAAAGCCTCTAGGACATAGAATTGAATTAACTTGATGGTACCTGATGTTTTGCCAATTTGTGGTCAATAAAAGAAGAACAAAAGACATTCTGAAATACCAAACCAGAATCCATTTGTTCACAAGAGATACATTCTTTGGCTTTCACATGCTGCCAATATGGCCCCTTACCTGGGACCCGTGCGACTCTGTGTGACCAGTGCAATCCCCCAGGCATGCTCTCCAACTCCACAGAGGGTCCTCTTTTCCCAACTCCTCATCATCTCTCTCAAAAGCTGGAAAAACTTCATTGATATTCTCAAAACGCCAACTTCTGTGCCAGTCTTCACTGAACCTCCTGAAGCTGCTGTCCTAATTACTGAATTTCTAGATTGTATGTGGTGATATCTTTGTACCTTCCTCAGTGCACTTCCAGACCCCAGTTCGCTGTGGGCTGCTCTTCCCAGCATCCTGGGGAGACGCTCACCATACCTCCTTCCACTGTGGCTCCCTCAGCAGCACCCACCCCCACAGGAGCAACTATCTATATCATACCAAGAGGCAAATTCCTCTTAACTCTATGCTGTGGGTGAGATATTTGGATCGTAATAGAGGAAACTCTTTGTAGCAACTGAAAGAGGAAGTTCAGGAAATGAGGAAGAAGAGGTGTTATTTGGGAAGTACTTCCCTCCTAGAAAACTGCCTGGTGCGTCCATAACAGGTTAGTCAACATTTCTGAATTTGCAGAGATGATGATAAATCTGTGCTTTTTTCCCATTTGCTCCCCAAAGATTACATCTCCCTTCAGCACCCCAATATCTTGTAGCTTTTTCCCACAACAGTTACATACTGTAGTAAAATGTGGGAATTCTGTAAGGCCATATCATGTTGCTAGTCCTCTTCCTAAGGTGGCACAACCTCTCACTGGATTGCATGGGGTCCCCAAGACCACATTCAGGTTTGATGATTTGGTAGAAGGACTCACAGAAGTCCAAAGAGCTGTTATATTCACAGTTACAATTGATCAGGAGAAAGCTTCTGGCGGTCGTCTCCCAGGAGAGTCACACTGACAGTATTCCTTTCTCTCGGCAATGACTTGCAGCAACAGGTGTGAAGTGCTGCCAATGAGAAAAATACACCCAAGCCTTGGTGTCCAAGATTTTTATTGGAAATCAGTCACATAGGCATGGAGCACCCATATAGCTGATCTCATTACTCAGTCTCCAGCCATTCCAGCGGTCAAACTGAGGCAGGGTGGCTCATGACTCCAGATAAACAAAAATAGGCATTCACCATAAATCACATTGTTAGCATGAACTATATAGCATTACCCAAGACCAAAGGGATTCAAAAAGCCCTCTGACCAAGTGGACATTCCAAAGATTCAAAGGTTATCTCCCAGGGTCCAAAGGCCTCTCCTTTCTTGGGAAGATGCAGAGTTGGAGCATCCCAGACCCACTGAGTTACCCCTTTAGGGCACATTGTTGTAATGACCAAAACATTGTGTACTGGAGAGAAGCCTGCTTTCTATATGCTTGTTTCATGATCCACGGTGTGGTAAAAAGATTCTCTTAGGGGCCTTGAGTAATGTGGTTTCACTCAGGCTTTAGATCTAAATGAAATGTGAACATAAACACATTGAGAAGAATAAAATTTGAAACACAGGCCAATTTATTTTACATTTATCTAAAATGACTTGAGAGTTGCTGTTAGGTAAGCAGGCCTCCAGCACAAAACTGAAATGGGGAGGAAATTCAGCACTTGTTTATTAGTTCTATAAAACAGAATAAATGTCTCCTCCATCTAAGAAAACATTGTATGTCAAGAGGAGGCATAGTTTAACAATAAATGGTTTTCTTCTTTGAATTTGAAAAGCACTGATCAGGCCAATAGTTTGTACCTTGTTATTACCCAGCTTGTCAAAGAAAGCCAAAATCTTTCCTGACTATGGAAAAGTTTGATCATTGGAATTCCTCTCCTCACACTTCTCTATCAGATCAGTTAGTGAATATACACAAGATTTTGTAAAAAGAGTATATTCCACTGCTAAAAAATCCAAATCCCAGTAGCATGGTGGCTAAGTATATGAGAACTGAAATCCTAGTTTATGCTCTTGAGTTGAAATCCTCACTTCTTTCCTTGGCGGCTACGTAATTTTAAGCAAGTTATTAAAGTTACTTCCTAGTTATTACTCCAAGCCTTAGTTTCGCTGTCTGTAAAATGCAGATGACATCTATTTTAAAGGCTTTATTTCAATGATTAAAAAAGATGGCATGTGTAAACTGTATATAGTGTCTGGGATGTAATAAACTGTCAATAAATATTAACCATTATTGAGTTATGATTGTAATTAATTGGCATCATCAGACAAATACTTGCTTCAGAGGCAGCTCAGCTTTGTGGTTGAGAGCCTGAATCCCAGCACTAACTTTTCATCTTTGAATATTGGCTTTCCCACCATTAGTCTTGAGATGCCATTTAACCTTGTTATTTCTTTATCCACAAAGGAGTTAAAGGTTATGGTGGAGATCCAGTGTTTGCAAAATATTTAGAAGAGTACCTGACATATGATAAGAGTTCAAAAAAGTCACCAATTTCATTGATTGGGTTTCAAAAATCTCATTATGCCAATTGATTACTCTCCTTCAAATACACTAAATTAATATAGCAGAGCAATGAAGAATGTGGGTTTTAGAGTCAGGCAGTCCTGATTTAAACCTCTGTCCATGTAGCTGATTAGCAGAGTGATCTTGGACTGGTCACTTAATTTCCCTGAATCTCCGCTCATCTATAAAATGGATTGTATCGGTTTTGACCTGAAATGATCAAAACATCTTTAAGCTTTAGCAATCATCACTACCACCATCACCAACCTAACATCTATATATCAATCATATAAGTATGAGTGAAGCAATTTATCTTAGAAATATTCTTAAAGTCTTGGTATTATGAAATTCTTGCAAAAATGTATTTTATTTGAAGGGATGAAATAACATTAATTCCTTCAGCAAGCACTTATTAAACAACTTTTATATGTCAATAACTGTGCTAACCACTAAAGAATGAAGTCCAGCAGTTTCTGCCTTCAAGAAACCTACATTCTTAATGAGAACAGATGTGACTATATATACACATGGAAAAATGCCATAATAGAGATTGCACAAGATAATAAAGATTCCAAGTAGAGACATTCTATGGACTCAAAGATGGATATAATGCAAGATGTAATAACCCTTATCCTCCTTCTACTTCCCTCAAGACATACTCGACAAATGCATAGCAAATCAACAGATTTTGGAAAACCACATGATAAGTGTCATTCTGTGACCCAGATTCTAGACTTAACTCTACCAATTATCAGTGATATGTATGATCCCACAAAATCCAATATCCTATCTGGAGGTCAGTTTTCCTACGTAATAGTTTTACCTATCTGTTCTGCCAATTTGGGGAGATTGTTGAGAATTTCAAATGAAGCTGCAATGAAAACCCTCAAGTAAAATGTGTAAGTATTATAGCATTTTATCCTTAAAACCTCAAAGTAGTATACTTCATAAAATGCTGCAAGTTTTACGTGAAATTTTGTAAATGAGCCCTGGCCCAGAAAGGAACGACTACTTTACACTCTCTCTCAGGAAAGCAAATGCTGACAAGAGCAGGCATATTCTGAGCAAGTTACACAGGTCTGCTCTTCAAAGGATCTCTTTCAACTTGCTGTTGAATTCGATTCCATGTCTATAGTCTCGTTGACTTGGGTAAATGGAAGTGAGCACAAGTATCCTTATCTGGAAATTACTTTAGTTTTACTTGCAGCAGTTTCTTTCTACCAAATAGAAACAAGTAAATAGATATAGAAAGAGATACAAATATTGGGGAACTTCAGTATCCATTTCAAAATCTGGTATTGAAATAATTGAGCCTTACTGGCTTGGAACTCAATGTGGTCGATCCTTAACACCATACTTTAACACTCTAAAAATATTTCTTCCCTGAATCAAATTTTTTGTGCCTGATCTGAGTTGTTGGGTTGTGTTTTTATAGACCTCAAAACAGAACAGAGCTATGACTCAATTTACTCTGGAGTATGAGGTATTATTTTGGAGAAAAATAGCTATTGGAAAATGAAAACTGTTCAGGTGGAGAATAAGTGGCTGTTGAGATCAGACAAATAGGAGATAAGGAAGCAGGCAGAATGATTATGCAAGCAAAGGGAGGTAAGCAAAGGTGGAACTGAAGATACGGTGTGTTTCCCTCCACAGACGGAGGCAGCTCTGATGTATGACGCCGTGTACATGGTGGCCATTGCCTCCCACCGGGCTTCCCAGCTGACTGTCAGCTCCCTACAGTGCCATCGACACAAGCCATGGCGCCTTGGACCCAGATTTATGAACCTGATCAAAGAGGCAAGTGATATTCCTTCACAGACTAATTCTGTCTTTGGTTTAGCACTGTCTGACTTGTTCATTTAGTGTGGTCTGTCTGTAAAGGAGAAGAAGATGTCATCAGCCAGTCGGCTGGGATCTCACTGGTAAAAGTGTGTCTAAAAGAACTATCAGGAGTTTTCCAGTGCGATGTTGAGATGTTCAAAGAAGCTACCAGGTCATAACAAACACTTGCCTTCAGCACTGCCCCAGCTGCTGCTGGCCCCACATGTTCATAAGAGCTCATAGGTGCTTATTCCGTGGCCCACATAGTCACGGAGTATGTTGGTCCATCATTGAGTGGTACCAGAGAGAGTTCCCACATTGTCAGCCATCATCCCAGTGGTTTCCTAAATCTCAAGTTGTACAGAACTGAATGGGCCTCTTTGTCCTAATGATATATTTATTATGTTGCCATTTGTGAGCACACCAGAAAGGTCCAGTGGCATTCAAAACCTACCCAGGGCACTAAAGGATTTCCAAGAATACAGGATATTTGGGGGCAGAGAGTTCTTCACTATTGCCCTGGGATCATGGACTATTCCCCCAGCCTTTCCTTTTCTCTGAGACAATTTGACTTCCCTTCACCATACCTTGTTCTGAAACATGTTTTCCTTGGATAATCCTTAACCTCAGCATGGACCTCAGGGTGTGTCTGGACTTGACAAGATGAAATAAGGCACTTGGGAGCAGCCAGACCTGAGTATATATCCTACTCTGTGAAGCTGAGAAGGCTTTTTCTCTATGTTTTCTCTATGGGACGCAGACATTTACCTTCAACTGAAGAGTGTATGTATTTTTCTACTGGAGTGAGACAAAGCCATAGAAGAGAAGAATGGGAGAGAACAGAGTGCAAGAGAAGAATGCCCAGCCAAGAGTGAGGGAGAACTCCTAAAAAAAGATACCTACTGTGTGTTCTATCTCTGCTGGTCTCTTTAGCACCTACAAACCCCTTCTCAGGCTGTACAATCTACTTCCCCATTGAAAGCTGACTTTGATCCATAGGGTGAGAACCAGAAAGGCAGGACGGGTGACGGTGTTAACCACAGCCCAGACCCAAAGCAAGGTTATGTGAAAGGCTAGGACTAGGGTGTGGCAAGTAGCAAGGAAGTGCTGATTGAAAGGCACATGGTTTAAGGAACCACTCACTCTCAGGTTTGAACCCTGCACTTACAAGAGACTAAAAGGGGGTGCTTCCCTAAATTTTGTGCCCTGAACACCTCTCTTAACTTGTCCTAGTCCTAGCATGGTTACTTGGGTTTAAATCCCAGCTCCACTAACATTTATGAGCAATATAACCTGGAAAAAATTACTTAAACTCCTTTTGTCTCGGTTTTCTCATCTGTACAAGGAGGATAACACCTTCTGTTTCACAGTTATTGTGAGGATAAAGAGCAAGGTTAGTACTTGTGAAGAACATAGTAAGTAAGAATCTGAAATACTAGCTATTCTCTTGCCATTGGAATGGACCACTAATAAGAGCTTCATTCAGTTTACTGAGGGTGATGCCAGGAATTTAAACCTGGCAATGACAACATGGAAATCACAAAAAGGCATGAAATGAGATACCCTCTTCTGAAGGCTACATCAATCTTATGGACTGTGCCTAATAGAAAAACATCACAGAGCCTCTGCTCTCCCTGCAGCGATCATGGTTGTGTCCCGAGTTGCCACGATCGCCTTGATCTTTAACAAGGAAACAGCTGGCTTCCTTTTATCTCATACCAGTGCAAGGAGAGTCATGTGGCCACATGAAAGCTTGGGATCAAACACTCAAAAGCACCCCAGAGTCTTTTTGCTTGTCCTGAAGTTGCATAAGAAAGTGGATTTACCACACCATGGTGAGACATGTTTAAAGAAATAATGAGCTCCAAGATGAGGGGCCACATTGAAAGCAAGAAAGCATTTGACATCCAGTAACTCCAAAGAGCAAATTCCCTATTCTCAGGCTCCACAGCTGGGAGTGGAAGAGAAATGGGGTGGGGAGAGTGCATTAGAAACCTTGATCACCATTGCACCCTTCTCTCTGTTGTCTCCTGAGTCATGACCCTATGTGCTACCTTTGGCATGGGGTAGGTATATGCAGAGCAGATGGGAAGGTGGGTAACCAGAAGCAATATCCCAGCCTGGTGAAGGACCAACTGAGGGAATTCTGAGACAAACTAAAATATGTGAAAGTGAGAAAATGCAGATGTTTCTTTCAAGGAGGACATAATTTAACAAAAGTTTGCAGGCATCGGGTTTTATTAAGAAACATGAGATAAGGCACTTAGTTCTAAAACTTCCCCAAGTCCCTTCTTTTAGTAACTGTCACTTTCCAGAGGATTTCCAAAACTATAATCAGAAATAATATAAAGGAGCAAGTCAGCAGATTGAATTTATGGGGCGAAGATCACATTCATCACAGGAGGTAAACTTCCAGAGCAGAGAGGTAGTTGCCTGTGCAAGAATCCCTGATAACTCCGCACATCATTGAGAATCAATAAGCCTTTCGGACAGGTCTCTCCAGTTAACTACATTCCAGTGTCTTAGGCTGACTAGACAGAGGGGAAGAATTAAACAATATTTTAAACATGATAAAATGTGCTATAGTGTTGTCTCTCGGCATTTGCTAAACAAATGCATATTAGGAGATTGTAAATTCCCAATCAACAACCATTACTGGGACTCCATCCATTGCATAAGCAACAGGAACTTGCCACTATAGGGAAATACCGCCCCCCAAATTAAGAAATGTTTCTTCTATTAATATGAATTTACCTATTGGGAGAATGATAGGCTTCATTTGAAGCTTTCCTAAGCCTCAGGATAAAACCTATACTCATTAGCAGGATATGTGGAATCTCCAGTGATCCAGTGCCTGCTCCCCTATACACCTCTCTCTCAACTCCTGCCCTGTCCTGGCACTTGCTGAACCTAGTGTGGCTCCCCAAACTTGCCATAGGCTCCTACCAAATTCTCTTGCCTCAGATTGGACTACCTCCTCTGGGTCATCCGCTGTCTCAACTCAGGCACTGGTTCCTCTTTGCTGGCCCTGACTCACAGTTTTGGCTCCTTACCTTCATTACCATTGTTGTTAGACCATCATCCTTATTTGCATGACTATCTCCAAGCTGTACTTTTCCTGTTTTGATTCCCTAGTTCTTACACAACACTGGGCACAGAATGAACACCCACAAAGTACATGCCAAGCAAGTGAATGAACTAACAAATGAATAAGTGCACCTAGAATCAAGCACTGTAGAATATACTCAGTATATGAATATCATATCCAGAAACCACTCAATAAGGCAAAAGCCAGTGTCTGGGCTAGACTTGTTTACCAGAGTCATACATTCTGGTGGGAGAGTGAGGCAGAGGTCTCAGGAATAGGCCAGCCTATTTAACTTTGGCACTGGGAGCATGGACCTTGAGATTTAATCAGTTTGCTATCTGTGTGAACTTAGTCATTTAGATTCTTCATTTCTCAGTTCTCTTTTCTATAACATGGGAATAAAAGTACCTACTCCATATGTTTGTGGTGATTACATATATTATATGTACAGCCTGGCATACAGTGGCTGCTCAATAAAGAGTAGCTGCCATTAAATGAAAGGTTCTGGTAAAAAAATTTTGTAAAGTGGTTGTCGGGAAAGAATGAGACAATGCATATACAATGTTAAGTGTATTGCCAAACATATGTAGGCGGTGCATGCTTGCTATTGCTATTACGGGCATCATGATTATTATTATTAGAACCAAAAGATGAAATAACAGTGTGGGCAAAAAGGAGGGCAGGACCTCGCTGTGAAAAATCAGGAGTTCTGTGGAAACAGGCATTAGCCCAGGAGGCCAACTGTAATGATGCCAAGATATGAGGCAACTTCTAATCCTAGAGCATATACACGGTGGTTCTGGAGGGACCCAGAACGTTAAGTAATCATCAGTCAAGCTGAACTACCAGGAAACCTGGCAAACCATGTCAAGGCCAATTTAGGAAATGAGAACTGAATGTGGAGTGAGGAGGCTGAAATACTTCTTAAGATCAGAGATCCTCTGGACTCTGGACGTAGAGTAAGTTGCAGCTGGCCACTGGGAAATCAGTGGGAGCAGCTCTGAGAGATGGAGCACACTGAGGCATCTGACGAAAAGAGGGTCTATAACCATAGCTTCTGGGAAGGGCAGTGAACCATGGGTGCAGCAAAGTGAATCAGATTGTAAGGTCATGTCAGAGAATCTTAACTATTTTCTGAGACCCTATTTAAAACTTATTTAAACCATGGATCCATTGTTACCACAAAAAGCATACAAATTTTTCTGCAGTCTCAGTGACTTTACAAATACCTTGGGTTCCCTGAAACTCATTAAGAGGGTCTGAATTGGTTATTGAAAATAAGAGTTTGGTTGAAAGGGTATTCCATTATGGTGAACGGCAAAAATATGAAGTAAACATGAAACACAGGGAGTCCCATTGGGCTCAGATGCAGTGAGTGGTTCCAGGTGGAAGTGGTGAGAAATGAGTTTAATATGGAGAGACAATTAGTGGAAATTGCCTGCTGAGTTGAGAAATTCACATTTGACTGTTAATTGGCAGGAAGGAAATCACTGTTCTTGAGGCAGACACAAAATGATATTTCAGATAGCTCATCTTGGTAGCTATGTATATGTTTGATTGAAGCAGACAAACCCACAAAGATTATTGAGGAATTGTAGACATCTTGGTTTGGAAATGATCATCTCTCCTAAAGAACTCAAAGGGAAAGGAATTTGTTTAAGAGAAATATACAAGTATTTTTCTTGAGAGTACAAGCCTGACTTCTCCCTTAGGCCTAAATTCCTCCAATTCCTTCCCTGTTGGAAAAATCAACTTGGATGTCCTGCAGCCACCCCCATATCAACAAATTCCCAAATAGAATCCATCATCTTATCCATTAAATCTATTACTGCTACATTAAGCCCTATGTCAATAAATAACAATGTAACTGGGATGTCAAATAAATACA